TGACTCTGATGTCCTACGTATTTATAAAGAAATGCTTAAATTTGTAGCGTAAGTAGAAAAAGTATGGTCAGCCTATTGCAAAGTAAAAGGAGGCCGGGTTGTTTGAGCCAAGAGGAGAGAGCCTGTGGCAACAGGAAGTAAAATTACTGGTGTCTTTTTGAGTCACATCACGGTGGTTCAAACAAACAGTGCTCTTCTAAATAGGAAATTAAGAGCTTGTATCAGTACTTTCATCAAGTGTGTGTTAGTCTTTAATAATTTAACTGGCTAATGGCCATTAGAAGTGACACAGCTGCTGCTGCATGAGTTGAATGGCCTTCAGTTTGAAGCGCACACCCTGTCTAAAGAGAAGTATGAAGAAGGCCAGCTATGTTATTTGTTTAAACCTTCCATACTGAATGAGATACCAGCACTCTACATCCCAGAAAATTCTCTCCGGTACCCTACCTCTCATCAGGGATGAGATTCCTGTCTTAATATTCATTAAGAAAACTGCCAGAGCATAAACATGTCTTTTCAGAAACAGAGAATTACACTGGAAAGACTAAACCTAGTTCAAAATCTGTTTTTAATTTCAGCCCTGAACTGTTAGCTTTGATATTTAGCTGAACATTTAAAAGTCTGAATTCACATTTGCTCATTTTACCATTGCTCACCTTCTTTTGTATAGAGGTGTTCTGTTTCCTTTACTTTAGCCTTATAGCATTTTATACTGTTTTCAAAATTTTAGATTACCTGAGATTACTGTAATTAGACGTATCACAAAATAATGGTGACATTGAATATATGGTTTCTCATAGTTCTTCACGTATTGAAGCAAAGCAAAACCACCTGCTTTTTAAACGAGAAAGTCATTACATGGTCTTGTTCTATTATAACACCACCTGTACTGATTTTCTAAGATGACAGATACCTTACAGACACAAGACACTGTTACTGTTAATTTTTCTTCCTGGTCTGCCGGATGAGTGAAAATGTGTTTTGGGGGCAGGTGGTGTTTGGGCTTTGGGTTTGGTTTGTTTGTTTTTAATAACGTTATTTATTCAATACTGAGGTAGAAATGTACCACTTAACTGATGCTACTGATTTGCTTCAGAATAATTTCTCTTATGTATTCGATTTAACCGGAAAACTTTTACAAAGACCATTTATTCCATGCAGACATTAGCTCTACCAGCTGCAGACCAGGTTGCATTTTTTGCCTAACAACGGAAGAAAGCTGAATGCCCTGACTTGCACAGAACACACTCAGCATAAAGTCTCGTCCCAATTAAGTTAAAATCATCCAAGACCACTGCAGTTGCCAACAGTGATTTAGCACTGCTGTCATAAAACTAGATTCAATTACACTATTTCAAAAACCTTTCCGTGGTAGAAAAGCTGTGTAAAAATCCTCCTGAAAAGGATTGCTACTGCTGTGGCTGCCAGGCTCCAGCCCTTTTAAAAAACAAGACACGGATGGTAGAACAAACCTACAATCCTACACCCTCAAATTATGTAATTTTAGGATGATTTTCTTATGTTATCCCGTACAAAGTTCAGGATAATCTCCCAGACACCTGACCAACTCCTTAATATTCCCACGAAGGAGTAAGGTTTTTTTTCCCCCCTGTAACATCACAGTAAAAATTTATACTTTTTCATTTGAGTAACTGCTCACGCACCCCAGAGAAGGGAGAGCCAACCTGACCCCCACGCACTTTTCTGTGGGCCTGTATGTTTTATTGCACACGGGAGAAGACGACTCTGAATGCTTCCCTCAAAGGGCACAACACGGACACCAATTTCTACACAGATGCCCGACAAAACCAACAGGTATTTTGGAAAGGTAGTAAGTATCAAACATTAGTTGCTACAGCTCTGCAGAGATTTCCGCTGGCAGCAAGTACAGACCAGTATTAAAAAAGGCACAGAGCAACAGCAAACATACTTATATTGAAGCATGCTTCCATATGATTGAGGTCAGCATCGTATTTTATTTTTAAAGCTTGTATTTTTAAATCAAATACGGTTACGCTCTTAACAATATGGCAGCAAACCTGCCCCTTACGTTCTAACCACCTCCCAATTTCCTCTTCCACATTCCCCCAAAGCTCCCTAGCAGCTTACTCATTAACAGTACCTAATACCACCAGATCTTCCAAATATAAAGAGCATTTTCAACTCTTTTATGTAAGTGGAACAGCTCCAAGAAATCGCCCACTGTCTTAGAACTGGCGATACCAATATTAGCCCTGCTTCTGACACATTACTGCCGCCTTCTCACTGCCTCAGAGGTGCCCCCAACATAGCACCAAGACTGTACAGCCCAAAAAGCCCTCCTCTCCTCCCCAGGCCTCTTTTAGCCCTAGAGAGGACTGTAAGCAGTAAAGTAACACCACAGCTGAAGAAACTCTGCTTCAGACGGTATTTGCAACCTCAGCACTGTTCACGTAAAATTAAAGAGTCCACAAGCATGTGGGCAGTCGTTTCAGGTGTACCGTCTGGAGGCATCTGTCACCATCTTACTGTCCCAAACACTGGGCATGGCTATAAAAGCAAGAGCATCTCAACTACTCAATAGGTAAAGTGATATCCAAAACTACCCATTTAAGCAAATACTATGCTTCTGAATCACAGTTACGACTGCAGGCATTCCCTAGGCCTTTTATCCTTTCACAGACAAACTCTATGGCCAGAAAAGCACTCAGCCAAGAGGAGAATTGCTTCACATCTCTCCAGAGCCGTTCTGCCACCGAGTCTGCTTAACGCTACAGTAGCTTCTAGTGGGATTCTGATTTCTGTCTTATCCGTCCTAATCATTAGAGCCGCTGCAACAAATTTCAAATGGGAATGTATTAATCATATCAATATTCTACAGAATAACAGTGTAATCCAGATGTTGCTTCCAGAGGAACACAGGAATACTTTAGGTACCGTGATAGCTTTTGTGCACTCGTTACATGCTGTAAGAAAATGTTATCTTTCAATGTAGTGCAATACAAGTGGGGAAACAGTGACTCAGGTAAAGGCTCATGTAACATGATTTTTCTTCCTTTTTTCTTACTGGACCATTCCATGGTCTGCGGTATAGCGTGGTCTGTCAGCAGATGTGCTCGAAAGGCCTCTTCAGCCTTCAGCAGTTTCCCCCGCGCATCCCTTATTTCTTGTATAGATCACAGTTCTCTCAAAACTTAATTGTGGACTAGCTTCTTAGCGTGCAGACTGAGGCTGAGGCTGTTTCTGTAGGCCTGCTCAACTCAGGAAGGCTACTTTCCGCTCTAAAAAGGCCAACTGATACTAGCTTAGGACTGTCTCATTTATTAAAGTACTATACTTGACCAGTCTTTAATAACAGCGTGCACAAAAAGGAGTTCTTAAGGCAACAGAATATATCAAATTTTATCAACATGACCAAAGTAAACTTTGAACTCCTGGGACAAAATCCTAACAGTATTTTGGTATCTAAACATTCCCATTCTTCCCACTAAAAATATTTTTGTATGTCAAAATATAGATAGTGCTGGTGAAAACCCAGTAACATTTGTTGACATTCTTAACATAGTGTCATATTTTATCTCATAACAACAAAAAAACCATCTGAAATGTTTTGTTAAATATGTATTCGCTACAGTAGCTGTCAGATACACACACTGAAAAAAAGGTTCTTTATATGAAATTTTGGTGTTTGAAATAGAACTGACTTCTGTCATTCACACAATTTTCTGTTTTGAACATCTGTGAGCCTGTTGCTGCAACTTTTTATAAAGGGAAGGATGTTTAGTCAAGCAGAGCTCTGCAAAACCAAGCAGATCAGTTTCTAGCCTTCATATTTTGGAAAGTGAGTTATTAACATGAACAGATTTAGTTACTGTATTACAGCAACAGCAATACATACCAATGCTAAAGCAATGTATAAAACTCTGGTCTCTTGAAAGAGAGTGGAGTCTCAGTGCTAACTTGACTGGGAACAAGATTTCATGGCAGTCCTGACAGCATTCGGCAAAGTCAAGTAGCTTGCCAGGATGTCCAAATCGGTGTCTTTAGCCGAGTAGAAGAAACCAGGAGTATAATAGCTTACATATTTCTGTTCTACTCTCCCAGAATCTTCTTTGTGTTATGATTTTAGTTTTGCCAACACCTAATAACAAAAAAACGTAAATTTAGATGCAGGGAAAGTGGATTCTAGGTTCAGATTCTCTTAGGATAATGACAACTCAGGATCGATACGTATAAAAAAAAATGAATATGCAACTATCTTCAAAGATGAGTTGTTAGAACTAAACTAGTGAATTAGTCCAACCTTACAAAAACTGGAATATATGTCAAGTGATAAAACAGGAGGTCACTTTTAAGTGAAATTAGCATCTAAAGAAGTCAGTAGAGAGGCATGCCTCTCACACAAAAGCAAACAGGATAGTATCACATGACCACGTCTAGACATCCCTTTTGTTTGCAAGACCCAAATCAATGGCTTCACTAAGAGCATTAGAACACTCAAAACTGCCTCAGAGTTGAGAACCCTGAACCTTTCAAAGTTATTCTTGAATTTTAGTATTTACTGCGCTAAGCAGCTGACTTGAACTTCTGCAGTATTCAATGCAGATTGTAGGAGGCGTTTAAATAGAGATGATCTCAGAATGGTGAAATATATTCAAATCAGAACATTTTGGTTCACTTACAACCATTATTTGTATAAAATAATTTTTGATGCCTAACAGAATTTTTTCAGGGTCATTTGCTCACAGAAGTTGATGACGGAGAAAAACTGCCCTCCTTAATTTCCACTCCAGCCAGGCTCACGCTGGGTCGTCCCAATACTTGTGAGACTCGTGGTTGGAAGAGCGAAGGCTGTGCAGGCCAATGACAACTGTAGTCACGGGAACCCTATCCAAGAGCCAATTTCTGACACAACTCTCTAATATTTTAAGTAACAACTAATAACTAAAAGCTGTTAAGTTAAAATAGCTAGAATCCTACAAACACTCTCCCATCTTTGATAAGAATCAGAGGTACAATGAACCTTTAGAGCATAATTCTTTAATGTAGTTTCTTGTGGAGTCTGAGAGGTAAATCACTCAGAAGTTTATCTGCATTTCAAGAAAAAAGTTAGACCGTATCAAGCTATATCACAGTCTTGATTTCAATTACAGAACACAATTTCATATACTGATGTAAAGTGTTTCTGTATTATAGAAATCTGATTCCTGCTCCAAACTGAACACCATCACATATCCTGAAAAGAAACAAATAATAAACAACATAAGTGATATAGAAGGTACAGATGAAATGAAAATCAATTCTCCCTACCCCTGAACTCCCAGGGTTTTCAATCTTTGGAAAGTTACAAATTTTAGCTGACAAAGGCTTTTTTAAATAAATGCTTTGCCAATCTGTCATCCATATGGAGTATTTACATTTGCAAAATAAAGCCCATAATTTTCAAATTGCTATTAATTCACATTTCACATGAATGACAAGTAGAAACATAATCCAACTCCTGTACAAAATACACAGTATCTCACACAGTATTCACAGGCAAGAACAGGCCCCCTGAAGCTTTTCTGTTCCATACTATAATATTTGCTTGGTGTAGGATAATTAGTTGCTAACAAATTAATTTGCTCTCCCTTTCTCCTTATCTATAGTTAAAGTTGTTTTCATTTTTCAAGCAGAGACATTAAATTCGGTATTTATCCAAGCATTTGTTTTTGGAAGGCTTAAGAAAATCCCAGGAGTTGTTTGAGTGATCATTTCCCCTAAAGAAATAAAACCTCCTACACAGCTACTCATACATTTCAATAGCTAATCTCAAGTTCAATGAACTTTGAAACCTGAGATACGATGTCTTAAACCAAGAAATACCGTGAAACCAACGTGAATATAGCGAACTAAAAGAGCAGCATCAAGGGCTGAAACATCTCCAAACTGACATAGAAAAAACAAAATTTAAAGGCAGCAATTCTCTCTGCCAAAACCAGACAGCAGTGCAGTAACCTTTAAAACCAGTTACTATTAAAGAAATTGGTGCAAAAAACAAACCTGTCACCAGACTGTACTCCCATGGGGAAACAGTAGTTAAGTTCTAATCTAGCAATGTTTCCAAGTCGGAGCACTATTCCGGCACCGTAAGACCATCGGATATACTCTGCTAACTTCTGCAGGTGAGCTCTAGGACCATCACCTGAAAGCAAAAGAGCAGGAGAACAAGAATCAAAGTAGACTGTCAAGGTGGTCAAAGGCTAACTGGATTTTCAGAGCTAAAAGACAGACTACTTCGGAGCATCCCCTCCCGATTCAAAATTTATTTACTACCCACAACTCCCATAAATGCCAACGAAGTACCTTGGACTCAAATGACAAACTTCTACGATTCTAGTTGGATTGCTGGTTGATCTTCATTTCCCTCCATAGCGTACCTACTTGTGTGAATCTGGAAATAAGTACTAAAGACTTAACTAAAAGTTAAGTCTTAACTAAAAGTCTTTAGTGGGTCTCTGTTAGTTTTAAAGTTGATCCATCTGCTTTTCAATTGTGCTTAAAGTATCTCCCTCCCATATGGATGCCATCTCTCTTCCATCAAGTGAGGCAGACATCAAATATCACGATACCCCCAAATTGATTGAACTGATACTGAAAAATCATACACTAATACACTGAAATATATCTTGAAAAAAGTTGGGGATGGAAGAAAAAAAAAGAAAAAAATCATCACATCAGCTACCACACCCTCATCTACACTCTAATGCCACCACCCAGAAAACATCAGAATCCCACTAAAAGATCATCTTCCAGTCTCCCTTTAGAATGGTGTAAGACAGCAGGTGTTGATCAATTACCACACTGGTCTGCAAACATCACCTAATTAACAGATACTACTGTTACCATCCTAGCTCTCTTTCCTACAAGTTGTGCTAGAATTTATGTAGCGAGCTAAAAAAATTAGTGGCAATCTGTCAAATATATAAATTAGTAGCAGCAGCTTTTTGACAGGCGCCAAAATACACGCAGTAAACAAACTGCTTCTGACTAAACAGACACAGAACAGCTCTCCTTTTTGCTTTTATATATATATAGAGAGAAGCAGGTTTTGTTATATACAATTATATTGAGTCTTACCATAGTTAAGGTTGCAGAGGTTTCCAGCATTAAGGAAGAAATGTGTTCGGAAAAGGTCTCCAAACCCTCCCCGGCCTGGCCGGAAAGGGAGAGGGGTGTATAGATGTAAGCCTCCAGCCCAGTACGCTTCTCCTCCCAAGTAATCACCTATTTAGGTAAAATGTTGGCATAAAAGCATTTACTGTGGAATATCTTAAAAGAACCAGCTGTTAAAGGTACAAGAACAAATCCTTAAGTTGTTTTACATTGCACTTCTACCCTTTACAACTCTTGCCACTTCCTTCTAGCTCCCTCGAACCTTACCACTACCAAGTAAAAAAATAAGCACTTGCACAATTCTTTAAACCTTCCAAGCGAATTGCCATTTTTCTTCATTCCCTCACCGGAACAGCCTGAGGCATGCACCTACTTGTGGTTCATCAGAGACTACCTCCTGAACACCTCTGAAATACTTGCCTTAGTCTTAAAAATGGGAAATTGATACAATTAAACAATTAGCTTTAAAATATACTGAATACTGAATCCACTGATAACAGTAAGTCAGCAGCAGAGTAAGGAATAGAACTGAGGAAGCTCCTGGCTCTCAAAACACCTTTGTTGATCAGATCACCTTTCCCCTAAGCTACCTGAACATATGCTGTATCAAACAGAGATTTAATGTGACTATTGCTATAACCATATTCTGGGAACTTTTTCAGCTTGAAGGTTGCTTGCTAATTAAAGTGACATATTGGAAGTATGCAAGTCTGAACACACACTTGGTTTACAAAACTAGCTTATGGCTTAACTAAGAACTACCGGGGTTTATTCCATTGTGAACTAACATATAACGACAGATCAAAGACATAACGCTTCTCAGATTCAAAGCGCAGAATGAGTGCAATTATTTTTAAGCTGTACAAAGCTTAAGGACAGAATTCGACTCTTTGTTACACACCAGTATTTACAGTATTGTCAGAGGAGTGGGATTTAAAAGTTTCAGACCTTCGCTCTGGGGTCCAATGCTGTACATACTGAATCCACGCACACTTGTTGGTCCACCAAGGTAAAACCTAGTGAATACAGTCAAATTTAATTTAATGCTTCACTTGATGGACATACTTGAAAATATCTAGCCATACTTCTAACATTGCTTTTCGGAGTCACAGGTAACTTTGTAACAGGTTTAGTAAAGTGTATTTAAAGAAATACCAGAAATTATATCTAAATCCTGATGCATTTGGCAAAAAATTCAAAATAAACAGGAGTATTAAAAATAAAAATCAGTCTTCCATCACCTACAAAGATCAAAACCAAAGGTTCCCCAGCACTGAAGAAGAATCAGAATGCTGTCCGATTCTGTCTGTTGTAATAATTTTGATAGAAATACTGTAGTTAAGATCTATCACGTGAAGTTGACACTTAGTATTTATTGTAAATAAATTTAAGTCTAAATGGTTTCTGCCAGTGATCTTTAAACACAGATGTTAGAGGGCAAAATTGCCTAAAAAGCCAACATAGTTACAATGTGGCTTTACCTCTAAAAATACCTACAGTGTTACCTATGCCTGATACAAAATTTTGCAGATGGTAAATACCATTTTGCAACCATAAATATTGGCAGGCAGAGCTACTACATAGCAAATTACAAACTTATACTACCCCAATATGAAAATCAAAACCAGAAGGCATGGCTTGAGTACTAACATGCAATTAAAGCTAACTAGAAACTTATTCTCCTCAGAACCAGAACTACAAATGCTTCTCTCTCTACTACAGAGTTTTCTTTATACATTACCTGGGTTGACTGAAAAAAATGAAGAAACATTTTAAGAACTTGCCTATCAGCTATACTGGATGGCTTGTCTCCAATAGGTACTAGCATTCCGCCCCAAAGTGACGCTGAAAAAACCTTTAGAGAGAAAAAGTTGTTGTTTATTAATACGTATTACTTCATTTCCCTAAAAACAGTATTAGTAAAATTTCATCGCTCAGTAACAGGCAGAGCTCCCATTAGTCTGACAGAAAGTTACAGATGATCACAGTGTATGCACGGATATCACACCATCAGTAGTTGTATTTTCAGCAAACTCTTGATCATTGCTGCCCTCTTTCTTTTACGCAGTGCTACATCTTGAAAAAGTCAATACAGCACATTTGAACCAAGTGCTACTTTCACAATAGCTAAAGGGAACACTCGTCTAGCTCCTATTTTCTTAGGAATTTTCATGTCTGGAAATAAGACAACACTGCTGACATAAATTACTCCTGGCAATTTTAAACACATAGGAGGCTAAGTCCAGCAAATAGCTACCAAAAACGTACAATTATTACCTGCCTGTGAATTAGCCTTATAATTAAATGAAACCATCTTCTGCAACTCACTATATTGACATCAAATACACATACATCATTACTGCTTATCTATACAGTAATTCTTGGGAGCCAAACCACTATAATAAATACATTTAATCATTTGCCTGCTGCCTGTGTACCGAGTAGAAGTATTGCTGCCAGATGGCGGGATCTATTGTCAATACCTAGGCTAAAGGTGCTGGATAATTTCTCTAATTTTACAGCACACTCCTGCTGCCTTCTGCCCTGAGAGTCCCCAGATGCTTCCCCTGCCATTATCAGATGCAAACTCATCAGGCGGCATATGCAAAAGCCAGTTGCACGCAAGTCTACACTCATGAACAACGGACGACATAAAATTATGTACCCCACGTGATGAGATATGCTTCACTTTCACAATGTAGGCATATCAGCAGTCATGGGAAAGAGCAAAGTCCTCTTTGCATAGCCATGAAGCCATTAAATTACTTCATAGGAGAATACGCTGTCTTTCTCAACTGAAGGTCAGCAAATAAATGTCAGATGACTAGAAGTGCACTCATCAGGCAATGCCTTTTCTTCCACTACATGGAAGGTGCAAATATAATGATGTAATAAGAAAGTGGTATAGCAAATAGCCTTAAAATGCCCTTCTGTGCTGGCCTCATTGGTGTAACTCAAGAACTTCATTGCACCAAGTCACCTCAGAACGAAAGCATGAAACAGCAGACCAACAGATCCTTACAGCATCAGTTCATTACTATCTGCACTGCGAAAGCAGCTTAGCGTTTTTCAGTTGTACTGCTGGCATAATGCTAACATCCTTCCAGTCTCCTAGAATTTCTTCATTATTCCGGTACTTCTTAAAAAGCTTTCAAGACGCAGATATCTTCTCAACGCTTTTTTGTTTTGTTTTGGGTTTTTTAGTATGTTGGGATGCAAATTATTGTAACCTCCGATTTCGAAATCTTCATAATGGAAGTTACTGTTTAATTCCCCATTCAGCTGTGAGACAAGAACTTACTGCACTGTCTCCATGGGATAAAGAACTTCTTTCTAAATACAGACAGAAATATTTCTAGTATATAGTGAAATTCTTATTCCACTAAGCAGAAAAACACCTATTTCCACCTTATACTAGCTCTATGCTGTTAAAGATGCCTGAAACTGAAGACCTCTATGTTCTCATAAGAAGCTGGAGTGCATTAAACATGAACTTGGAGTGGGGTTACCCAGTGTCATTTCCTCTCAAGGAAATCTGGTTGGTATACACAAGAACTGCTCTGTCAACCAAACCAAGACTTCTAAGAGATGATGATACAGGAATTTGCTTCAAAACAGCACAGTGTCTCCAAACCAAAGTGCTAATGTAGACACCACACCATAAAATCTGTGACGTGCTCTGCCTACAGGGTGGCAGACGAGGGATCTCATATAAACTTCTCATGCTACCATGTGTCTGTCTTATTGGAACTTAAATCATTCATTGTGCACAAATATGAAGTTCAAAATGTTGTAGTGCAAGCTTAGTGTTGTAGTGAAATGAGCCTTCCCATTCTTGCCCAATAATTTTATGCAGAAGAAATAATTACATGCTATGATACCAAAATTAGTAGTCGTATATTCATAATTTACAATGATAAAAGAAAACTAGACCAAGATTAGTCAGAATATTCATAACCAGGTGAAAAAGACAGAACAAAGGCTGTAATAAGTTTCTGAAAAATCACTCTTAAGAAAGATCACAAAAAACCAGACACGCCCAACATTACTTCTGAAAGGAAAAGAGTTCATATGGTTAACTGTCAAACAAGTCGTTCTTTCCAAAATGCCCACTTCTCAAGTGACTGTGCACGGCAGGAACATCAGGTTAAAAATAAAGAGTATTTCACTTTCAAAAAACCAAATCAAGGTATCTACACCATCCATCTTTCACTTCCGTGATCTTTTTCTAATCCATGGTGAAAAATCATCGTAAGACATAGATTCAATAACCTCATTTGTTAACTCAGATGAATTACTAAATTATCTTTAAAAAAATTACCGAATCCCAGATAAGTTGTTTATTCAACTGAAATTCAAAATCCTCTTTGAGAAAGCTCACATCTCCACCTGCATAGCCAGCCAACTCCTGCAAAGACATAAGTTCATGAAAGTTGTAACAGATTTTACATGTTTCTTCCCCCTAAAAGTTCATCATGTCTGCATCAGCATAAGCAGTGTTTTCTGTACGAGAAATACAGATATGCTGGTATGGAGAGACAACTGAATTTTGGACCAATGAAAGAACATGCATGACCCTCAGAACAGCGAGCTGCAATTTTCTCCTCCAAATATTAAACCAAGGTATTGCTTTCTAAGCCAGTTTGTAAATGATGACAAAATAGAATGGAGCTGGAAAATTCAGCACCTGAAATCAAAACTCTTACTGTATTTACCTAAACCTGAGAAGATGTCATATGTACTAAAGCAGGGCTGAAGAACCAGACAGCCAGTTGCATTACACCAGTGCTAGTTGAAAATAACAAGTGAAGTGACTGAATCAGTGTTAGAGGCAACATCTAACAAATGATACGTTAACTAAACCCTGAATTATAACCACCTTTCTCACTCAGAAACAGAATAGTTCACTGTTGCTTACAGGAACGCTAGCACTTTTAGTTCCAGTGACATTTCAAAGCAACCTGCTTCTAAACCATTGCAGAAGTTAATGCTTCTGAAGTATTAACCCATACAGCAGAAAAGCCAGCTTTTCTAAAAGCTCTGAAAGTAACAAGAGTGAAAACCACTTTCTGTGCCAAAATGATACATGTGTATGCCTTTGAGAGTTATTCTTACCCCGTCTTTCATTTTTAATTCTAAGACTTACAAACTTTGTAAGTAGCAACAGGACCACAGTCTGGTAATCATACATCACAGCGTTAGAAAACAAGGACTAATACCTACTGTAAAGTGTCAAGTAAATACTGTCAGGGATAACGTATCTCAGCTAATAAATAATGTAATGCTAATGGCGAGATAAAATGGCTGTGCTATTTGACCAGTGGTATACAAATGAAAATTTCATTGTTTTAAAAGGCACACACTGTAAATATAGAAAGTAAATACTGACCATCACTGTCTCCTAGTCAATTTAGGATTAATTTCTAACTTTAGACATTTTTAACACGAACATCAATTAGATAAATTAAGACTTACTCAAACACACTTACAGATAAAATCCAGTAACAGTATAAGTGATTTAATACTACCTGATTAATTTTTAGCAAAGCACCTCGTCTTGGCAAAATTGAAGAGTTCCGGGAATCAATTACCATAGCATGCTGAAAAGAATCAAACAATTGTTTTTAGGTTCCCGTATTTGTTGAATACCACAGAGTGACATTATTATTTTCCTTCAAAAACTGTGCACACAGTGGAAGACAGCCACAGCTCCAGCTAAGGTTAGTGTAGCTCCATGGATTTGGGAACAATGTACCTACAGACTAACTTAGTTCTGACTTTAGAAGCCACAAATATATACATATTTATACCTTTTGGCCATGGTACACACCAGAAATACAGCAGCAACAATGCCCCAGCGTAAATCACCAATTTTGTGACAGTAACCTGCAAATAGCTTATCTCCTACAATTTGTAAGCTACAAGTTAAAGGTGACAAGTTACTAAAAACTGGTATAGGAAAGAATATTTATAAACGGCACAGCAACTGTAGGATGAGGAAATTTACTGATCCTGTCTTCTACAAAACAAGACAGTTCTGCAAAAAGAGATGGCAGATGACACGGAGGGATGTCCTGCAGAAAGAACAAGCCAGCCTAAGCAACAGGCAAAATGCAACAGTCAATTATGAAAATATGTTTTCTATTTGGACCTCCTGGATGACTCTGTGTGAATGACCAAACACAGCAAAAGATGTTTGAAGTAAAACACACCACCTACGAAGGCAAAAAGCTCCTTTGGTATCATTTGTAAGAATTAAATGACTCAAAATAATGTGTTTTAAAAAATTATTAGGAAAAAGCCTTACAGAGAGAGAAGATTTAAGAGAGTGTCCACTTTCTTCTCGAACGGAAAAGGATGCTGTTCTAGCAAGGCAGCCAAGCTCTCTCCACACACCCTCCCACTTCAGCGTGTGATTAGTCTTCCAGATTGGAAACTACAAATAAAGAATTGAGACATGAAAAAATTTTTGCTACAAAATTAAAATAAACATTTCGCTGAAAAATCTTTCTCTTTAAAGTTTATTTATACATGAGTCTATGCTTTTTCTTTCCAAACTTCTTGGACCAGAGATAAACCCTTTTTCATTTTAGAGTAATGCTAACCCTGCTCCAGCCAAGACAGTTTCTCCAAGTAGGTGCACACCACTTAATCCATCCCAAATGAAAAATACCTTGAATTGGGCTGATACAGCGAGCTAGGCAACCAGCTGCCTCTCTGAAATGATACTTTAAACATTAAAAATCTGGAGAAAAACACATTGGTATTTTTATACGGCCAAAATAAGATTGACTTCTAACAAAAAGACTACGGTGTATTACCTCTGTCATTTTAAAATTGTTGACCTCTTTCAAATAATGACAAGTTAGCCCTGTACACAAGCATTTCAATCATTAAAAAAGTAAACCAAATATTTGCGAAAGCCTGCTGTGACCTGAATTAAATGTAAATGAAGCATGTGTTCTACAAATGCTTGTGCTACACTTACATTAAATTCTGTTGATATTCCTCTATCAGTTTCACGAAGAGAGCTCCAAGGGAACTGTCCAGTTACTTTATACAGGTTAACTGAAAAACTGAAACACAACATTACTGGTAGGTTTGAAAGTGAAACTATTTAAGTAGGTGGAGTTTTAAATTATCACAGAAAGTTAAGAAACTTATTAACAGACCCTCAGCAAAGGAATAAATTTAATTATTACACAATGAAAAATCTTATTAATTGTTTTATATTCCTTTGCTGAAAAAAGAAGTACTCAAAAATGCATCCCCTACTTTCTTTCAAAGTTTCCAGGCTGTGGTTTGAAGAATGACAGGCCGTATGAAGTTTCCTTTGTTCCATAGGAGAACTGGAAGGTTACCTTTTCTGCACGTCCAAAGAGATTTGGGAACTTGAGCCCAAGTACCTACAGAAAATAAAAAAACCCCCACAACATTTCATATAGTTTGCTGTCTTGCATCTTAATCATGTGAAGACAAGCATATCTACCATGAGAATGAGAAATGAAGACATTAAAAATAGTTGTAACTGAATGTGTTTTTCTTTTAAGTTAGGTTTCTCTTTGCACTGGCAGCAAAAGCCATCACAATAGCCCAAGTTACAGTTAATCATCCAATTTTTATTGCTGTCCAGTAGCTGCTGACTTGATCTGCATTCTCACTGTATCATCAGTACTGCTATTATTTTAAGCAAAATCTCCCAGCCGGTCTCAAAGCCCAGGAGAATAAGTCTTTGGCATAATAAGCAGCTGCTCTGCAACTGCAGACTTTCCAGCTGATCATCAGGAAAACTACTTGTAGGGTAGGGTTCATCAGAACCACAGCAATAAGCCAACGGAAAATTATCGATACAGAGTCACTCCCCTGTATTTTTGTTTTGAGTAACAAGACGCTTTTGCAATCAGTCCTGACAGCAGTACAACATACCATTACAATTCTACAGAAACTAGTTAAACACTTTAGGCTGTTCTGACACAAATTCCCTGGATCCCTTTGGCAGCTCTTGGCCCTTTGGCAGAAAGGATGGAGCAAGTTTCCTCCAAGCACAGACACTACCAGGACTGTTCTATTGTTGCGCTTTCTATTTTAAAAGAATGTAAAAAAAGCTACCAAATCCTGATTGCCTTTGTCTAACAGCTATTGGAAGCAAATCAGTCACCTGAACTTTGTGATGGTGGCTACTATGCCATTATCCAACTAACCAGAAACCACTAATCCAAAGGGCTATCGGTATGAAATATTAGATCTATAAGCTTCAGATGAATTTAAGGGATTAGAATAAATGTCAAATCTATTTAACTCTTAAGGAAACAATCTCTGCTGCCAATGCCAGTGTATACGAGTCATGCTTTTACATCATTCAAACATTTTACTTCTCTGTAACAAATTAAAATCAAATAGAGGGGGAAGCTGAATACAAAAAGAGAAACCACAGTAGCTTTCAGACTGTTTTCAAATGCACTGGAACCAACAGGTAGGATTCCCCACTGGTTTCATTCAGGCCGCAACACCCTGGACGTTGCTCTCAGCAGCAGAGCTGCATAAGCAGCTCTCAACTCGCTGAGTTCCTATGCTCCCTGCACTTGCAAAACACGATCACCTGAGTCATGCAGTATCTTAACCAGGTTAAAAATACCCCTAAGAAGAAAAGATGAGTCCCTTGATCTGGCTTATCCGCCAGCCCCGGGGCACAGCTGCACTGTGCACATGAGAAGGCAGAATGGGTGCAGGAATGAGCACCTGAAAGCATGATCTACTTACACCAGCACTTCTGTTAAAAGGACATTAACAGAACAACAGTACAGCTGTTACTTTTTCTGTCAATTGGTAAACATTTTTCACACAACATTTTAATCTGATGCATCCTTAATTGTATCAAATGGAAACAAGTTCCACGGTTTGTATCGTTCTGGAAAACCTTGCGTTTTGCAGCCCAGAATAACTGGTACTGGACTAAAATAGTGAAAACCAAGAACAACTTCTAAGTCAAACATAAAGCATTTTGACTGAGAAGAAAAACACTCTAAACAGATCTCGCAGAAACTAAATGCCAAACTCCTTACTAATCTCTCCAGTAGATAAAGTGTCTTAAATATTATCAAGAAATAATGTAAGTAATTTTAAGAATTAAAAAATTAACATACCGAGTTGGAAGCTACAGCATTCTTCCGTAGCTCAAAATAGGCTTTTGCCGAATGAAAGCCTGACTAATACAAAGACTCTTTAGAGACAAAGGTCTGGCAAAGCCTTAGTAAAGCTGGATCAAGAAAATAATTTGGCTTGGATCAAGTCATCACTTATTTAATCACCAAATTCCTTGCTAGGTTTGAAACATGAAAGTAAGAGGAATATCAAAAGGAATTAGTAATTATTTGAAGTAATCCCTACCATACTGCCTTCATTGTTGCCAACCATAGTATTATAGCTTCCAGTTAGTCTTCTCAATTCTGTTACCTCAAAGGTTACATCTAAACCATTTGGAAGGGCATCATCTCCTACATAAACAAACAAACAAATGTATGTTGTCTCTAAAGAGCTATTTAAAAAAAATGCAGACAGAAGATGACGAATTATTTGAAAACTGGTTGAATTAAATGATAATAAAAGTCCACATTACAAAGAAAAACGCCTTGAGAAAAAGATGTCGTTTGGATATGAGTGCAGAATTTGGTTCAGTCATAGCATGACCAGCTTCAATCACCAACATGTTAGTTTAATTACGAAACAGTAACATTTTTTTGTTACCTAGCCACCAAAAACAAAGATGTACACAAATTCTTACATTAGAACAAACAGAAATTAAAGTGGTCCAGACACGGCAAGAAGAACGCCGTCACTAGGGCAGAGCTCCCAGCACTCGGTGGGTAAGCGCTGAACAACAGAAACCGCCCAGTTCCCTCAGGGCTCTGGCTACGGCAGCTGTTCCAAAACACAGCTGTCAAGGGTACCCAATTCTGCTTGAAGCAAACAGGACAGCATCCCATTGCCAGCAACCTGTGGGACTGCGCTGCGTTTCCTTCTCAATAACACAACTTTCCTCTGCTGAAGAGAACAGCAATGGGTTTGAAAAGCAACCATGAGCCCGGGAATGCCAACCGAGCCTTACTGTGAAACATGCACACATTCAGCTGCCCCATATATACTATAAGCCAATTTTTAATCGCAAGCACTGGTACAATTACTAGTATTTCCTTAAGCACCAAGGATGGGCTGATATAACGTCAGTTATGTGATATGTAATACATGGAAGTGCAGGACACATTTTCAAGCTTTTCCTCAAGTGCTCCTTTGAAACTTTGGATTAAGGGTTGTGTACTGTAATTATTTTAGTGCTGGAAATTCACTCATTTTTGCATATATACAAGTAATATTTACAGACGCATACACATATACACAGACACGTGCAAATACATCTTTTTCATAAGGATAATGGATGTAGACACATAGATTCGTATATATAGCACACCTACAGGTACATCTAAAATATATAAAGGTATATGAGAGAGTAAGTTATATACACAAAAAATGTCCAACCTGTTACACAGGGAAATGTACATTATAGGTATGCATGTGTCTATGTGGGTATGAGGAAAAAGGTGAGAATTAATAAGGCAATACATACCTTGACAGGTATCAATCAGAACCTCTACCTGTCTAAAGATTCCTAGACGAAGCAACTTTTCACGAGCTTCATGCGATTTTCTCATCACCTACAGGATAAGTAGCTCAGTCTTTTCAGGTTATCAAAAAATAACTAGGATAGAATAGTTAAAATGCAGCTAAGTCACACAATATTAACAGATTTTGTATACAAAGACACATATATGTGCCTTCAAAACAGATCACAGCCACTTTAACACTTGAATCTGTAAAGAAATAAATTCAATCCAGAGCATCTGGCTCAATTCCTACCTTCTGTTAGTTTGCATCCTAATTGTTGTAATACTTAAACCTATTATTCAAATAGGCTTCAGTACTTAAAACTTATACACCTATTTACAGGACCCATGCTTTTCGCAAAAAACCCAAACACCCTAATCTATTTAAATTTAGACTAATTTACAGGTCTAACTGCCAGGTGTACTCCAGAAGGAATCACCACCTAAGAGGGCAAGGACATACAGCCTAACTCACACTTTGATCCGTTGTGGAGACTGGCATCAGTAATCTGTGCCGAGATCCAATAATTTATCTTAAGCAAATTAACTGAAAGTGTCACCTGCACAGTTAGCAATTCTCAAATGGGAAGAGTGAAGCTGAAAAAATATCTGAGAGTACCGCTTGCCATCTCACAACGTCTTTGAGCTGAATACATCAGAAAATACAGTATCTGCCAGTATTTAAGTTTGGCTTCCATATCGCAAGATCAGAATCATCACAAAACGTGACGAAGTTGCCCCATGTCTGAAGGGAGTAGTCCAAAGCAGGAAAAAGAGAAAATCGTAACCTGAATTCTTAAACAGTAGGTCTGATATTCACTACGGTACTTACATCAATAAGGTTTTTCGCCTTGAAAACATCAGAGATTTCATACATGATAATGTCATCTTTGGTCCTTCCAAGTCCATCAAAGTGCACATGCTGAACCACCACCTAAACAGAACAGATGTTTAAACACAAATATTGAATTTGCATCTAATAATGAGTATCAAAATCACCAATGCAGAAAAAAATATTGTTGTCCGAGTGAAAAATCCGGAAGATTTCTAGGCTAATTGCTGCTAACTGACATTATCAGAAATCTGTGCTATCTACAATTCTGGAAAGTTGTTCCCTTAACATGAAAATTAAAGAAAAAAAGAACTCTAATACCAAAGCTAATACTGGTTGTAGCAGAAGAGACAGAAACAGACTGTAGCTGCTTGGATTTTAGACATAAGTGAGTATGGACAAATAAGTCACTGCAGAAATCACACTGACATCTTAACACATGTAAGACAAAACACGTAGTTAGTCGTGTTCAGCTATTTCTTGTATCAGCTACACATAAGCAAAGAGTTAAAAGAAAAAACAAACCAAACTACAAGCCATAAATATTTAAACTCTAACTATTAAAATTATTACTACCACTGGAGCATTGTAGTTTGTCCTTGACTAGTGTAAGCACTGCTTAGCAGCAACTAAAACATTGGTGTGTTATCAACATTGTTCTCATCCTAAATCCAAAACACAGCACTGTACCAGCTACTAGGAAGAAAATTAACTCTATCCCAGCCGAAACCAGGACAAGTTTAAAATGCATATTAAGATCACTAGCATTACGAGGTTTTATATTTTCTTAAAATCATTCATCTTGTCATATAATCATCTGAGATAAATTTATCTTAAAAATCACAGCACACTCCAGGTTAGCTGGTACAAATGGACTGCATTGATTGCATTTCCCTTATTTTTCCAACTTTTTCAGTGTATTATAATTTTAGGGGTAAGTGTCAAAAAAAAAAAAATCTGCAAACGCTTCATGTATTCACACATAATAAAATTGCAGAATAAGAGCAACCTAGCATTACTGCAAACTGCTTAAAAAAAACCCTATAAGAATATATACATAATGGACTAAATAAAACACAAATGTTATTACCAAGCTTCTAGCGAGGATGTCTCTGAAAAGCATAAGGGAAAGGAAAATTTTAATAAAAACTAAGATAATGCATGATATCTCACCCCTCTAGCATGGCTAAACATATTATGGGCCAAGACAGACATGCTCTTACATGTGAAATATTAAAAAAAAAAGTTACCATCCTCTGCTGAAGTTAGTAATTCACGTGGTGGCACTTCACCCTAACCTGGCTAATACTGCACTCCAGCAGATTAAGGACGGTTGCTTGGTTTGCTCCTAGGCAGTGCTGCAGAAGCAGCCATCTCTTATGAGAGAGAGGGGACAGTAGCATCTGCAAACAGGTCTATTAGCTCAAAGCTGAATTTTAATAACAACTCCTGTGGTAGGGAAAAAAAGAACCTGAACCAGACAACATCAGATTAAGTTCACAGCACTAAATTTAATTATTTCACATCTCAAACCATAGTTTAGAAAGTTCCCTTAGGAAAAACAAGTAAGCAAGGATGCCAAGACATTTCTCTGAAGAAAAAAATCAGGATGTTGTTCAGGTACTTACATCTTTGTTTTCAAGAATTTCCTGCTTGGCCTCAGGTTCAACTTCAACCAGTTCAGCTTCCTCTCCCAAGGCACCAAAGTCTGGCCCACCCATTGGGAAAGGCTCCAAACTCTGAAAGCATAAAAGAAAACCGCATTTAATATGGTACGGGGATTTGTGATTATGCCTTTTGCAAAGGAAAAAAACCATGGTTCTTGACACTGTGCTCATCAGATCCTAAGGGGAAAAAAACCAAAAGAGAAGAACTAAAATGAGGGGAATTACCAGCACACTTGTTACCTACCTGCTTGCTGAAATTTTTAATGCAAGCTGAATAGCTTCCATGTTGAATGATTTCTCAAAAATACTCTGCACTCTTCCAAAAATAGCCTTATTTTTAAGGCATGCTTCCTATGTTAAACATGAATTCTACCTTCTTATTAAAAAAAAAAAAAAGTCTAAACAATCAGGGTGTCACTACTTAGTTTGGGTTTTTGGGAGGGAGAGGAGTGTGAATGTTGAACAATTCAAAAAAACCAACAGGTGTTTTCAGCATGTTACTTTGCATACATTTATACGCTTTTAGTTTTTAATATTTCTTTTAAAAGTATCCTTCCAAGTAATGCTCAAGAACCTCAGGCCCTATCCATCAGAGGTGAACATTTTAATCAAAATGGTTTCCAGCGCAGCATGGCTTTATTTACTATACTTGAAAAAGTCCTAAAATAAGACGTATCAGAAGATCAAGGATTCAAAGAGTGAATAGAGGGTTACCTGCAAAAGCAGAGGTCAGGATTGGATAACTCAGTAAATCTACTTTTAGTCTTAAGTCACTAATACAGTACTTGCTGCGTTATTTAAGGACAGCTGTTTTGCTGGAATAGTAAATTGCTGTTACACATCAGAATCAAGTTAAATGAACACAGAATCCTCTCTCACTCCCAGTAATTTTCAGGCAAACGGGAAACACTCTGCATCCACACAACACTGTGTATCGGCTCATACTACAGATGGATATAAAACCAAGAATATGAGGAAAAAAATTTGAAACGGAAATTAAATTAGTCATGGTAATTAGACACTCTGGAGCCTTAACAGTCCCCTGCAGCAATATATTCCTCAGTCTAATTAAACACTATGTAAAAGCCTGCTGGTTTTCAACAGGCTCACAGGAAAGAGGTATCCCACCTGGGATCTCGAGCTATCATCCAAACCATTCTTAGCCCCCAAATCCACTCATTAATCATACCTGAATTACCTACCTCAGTTTTAAACACGCCTACGCAGGGGTGCCTATCCCGAGAAATGCTTCTCTAATGAAGCCTTGAGGCACGGAGAATTCAATGCCTTCCTAAAGTATTTCAGAGCCTATGCATCCTTATTCTTTGAAAGTCCTTTCTGATGTCTAAGCCACGCTTTTTCTGTCGCCATCATAACCACTACTTTTTGTCCCACCGCAACAAACACTTAAACCTTTACCTTCCTTTTTTAAGCAATGGCGTACGGACGTGGAGGCTTCGGCTTCTGTTCACGCGGACCTCCAAGCGCTTCAGGCGCGCGAGACCCAACAGACCTCATTACGGGGCACCCCTCTTTACCGAGGGAGCGCAGACCTACAACCTCCGCTCCTCACCGTCAGCGCTCCGCTTGCCGGGCAGTTCCTCTGTGCTTCGTGCTTTGGTTTGGGTTTTTCTTCCTCTCCGCTTGTTTTTTTTGTTTGTCGTTCACGCAGGCTGGCTCTTGCCAGCCCCCCGCGGCAAGGTCAACCCCGACCGCCGCCAGGGAGGAAGGAAAGGGGCGGGAAGGGAAGGCAAGGCAAGGCGCCTCCGAGCACCAGGACG